TGTATTTAGAGAATGTAAAACATGCATTTATTTTATAAGTTCCAACTTGGGACTAGGCTATTTTCATGTATATAGAGAGAACATGCACTTAGAGGATATATACTTAGAGGGAGTCAACTGTATATATTCTGTTATTATTAGTATAAATATTTAACAAAGAGTTAAAGCCACTGTAATACATATTGTGGCTAAAGTTTTATATAGCTTTCTACTCTTTTAACTATACTTTCAACTCTCTTAACATGATCCTCAATTCCCTCAACATATCTCTTATCTCCCTCTACTTCCTCAACATGGCCTCAAACTCTTTCAACACGTCTCTCAACTTCCTCAAGTACAATGTTATATTATTCTCAATTCTCTCTTCTATTTTGTAAAAAGGTATATAAAGAGAATATTAATTCCTTCTTGTAAAGATAGGTATCTATAGGTTTTTATACAGGTTTTAACAAGTATCTAGTTAGAAACTATTACTTCTCTTTTATAAAATTAGTCTTGTAATTCTTTTTTATAAATATATAACTCTCTTAAGAATTTTTAGATAAGGTTATCCTCTTGTTTTATAATAAATAAAAATACACTATCCAAATACCGAACTGTTTATCTTCTGCTGTGAATACTTAATTGTATTCCACATCCATCTCATATAAATTCCAATAGCAGGATCTCTGCACCAGGTAATCTTGTTACTATGCTATATAGTTACAAAAAGGCTATAGTATTGTAACAATATATATACAAGTAAAAATGAAGTTTCTGCTAATACCTTTTTTTTTTATTTTTATTTTTTAATATTTAAGGTAAGACCTTGCTCTTATCTTTATTAAACTTAATGAAAACTTTTTACATAATTGAAAAAGGTTTTAAATTTTAAGCTTAGTACTAAGAATAAGAACTCAGACATCTAGAGAATCTAATAAGTAACCTAAATATTTATCTGTAATCTAAACCTACCAAAGTGGCCAAAGCTCACCTAGAGTTGAAATGAATTAAAAATATAAAAAGAATATATATGGTATTTAATCCAGTTAGTATACCAGGATGATATTTTTAAAGAAGATGTTTGAAAAGTAATATCAGATATGTTAGAAGTAGAAAGTGTATTTCTAGAAAGTGCTAGTGTAGGAGATAACTGAAGTTGTATTGGCTGGGGTTAGGGCCTTGAACTACAATAAGGAATTCAGATATTTGAGTACAATTGTTTGTTAACATGAAGAAGAAATTGTATAGAGATTGAGTTGGCTGCTTGGTTGGATATAGTGAATTCGCATATTGTATATATAATGTCAAGTGAAATGAAACCAGAAAGTATAAATAAGATAGAAGGTTTGTCAAAAAGATTGTGTATTAAAAAACTATCAAGATTGATAATTCGGTTATGTAACAAGTTAATTTATGATAATGATATTTGGAGTTTGTTAGCAGTTACAGTATTGTAAAGAATTTTTAATAAGTGTATAGATAGGGTTAGGTAAGGGGTATATAGCCTAGTGTAATGTAGTGCTAGTTTGATAACAGATATAACAAGTATTAAGATAAAGTAAGTTTTTTTTATACAATGTATGAGGTGTTGGGAGTTCATTAGTAAAAAGTTTAACTCTGAATGTTTTAAGAGTAGAGAACTAAAAACTATAAGCAAAGTTAGAAACTTTTTGGTTATTGTTAAAGTATAGCCAGATTGTATTCCAGTTTATATGCTGGGAAATTTGTATCCATGGTTAAGAATGATTCTGAGATGACCAGAAAGCAAAGATATTTGTATAGCATATAGTTCGGATACTGCAGCGAATAGGGAGTTCAAGAGAGTAGCTTTCTAGGTATAGAGTATACAAAGAGTTATAAATATTGTAGGAGTTAAATATAAGAAATGGTTTGTCAAGATAATTGCAAACTAGTTTATCAGCTTTGTTATTGAATATATTATTCTGGTGTACTTTAACTTTATGAAAAGTGATTTTTTGGTTGTAAGATTTAGTAAAGTTAAGGAGTATATTTCATATTGACCAATAAGGTATATTTGAAGAGCTAGAGCTAATTGGTTGTTAGATTAGGTTTTCATATTTAGATATAACAGATTGTGAATCTGTAAAGATTTAGATATTGCAGTTTCTGGAAGCAGTGCATATGAGGGGAGTCAATAGAAATAGGACAAATCTATCTAATAAATTTGTCTCATTTTTATTGACTTCCTCCATATAGCAGACAAGATTGCAAGCAGTTTGGCTTTAAAAGAGTGAGATTTGTATATGAAATGTATAAAGAATATTGTCATTATCAACCTGTAGCCAAGGTGTGGCAACTTAGTGTAGTGGTCTAGTTGTCACCCTCTCCAAGTGGCAGATCTAGAGTTTAAATCTCACTAGTGACGATATTGAAAAATAGGTCTAAATCTGTAACTTCAGTTACACTATTTAGCAATGGGAGCTTTGATACAATAAATCTGAGGAACTAGCTTAACTGAAAACCTATTTGGCAAGTCCCGTAGTAGTGATCTTTAACAGTACTACAGGAGAGCTAAATTCGAACCGAGGCCTGAGATTAGAAAACCAAGCGACAAGGTTCGCTAGCAGAGGACACACTAGCCGAACCGCTAAGTTGTCGCACCAGAGAAAAAGAGTATATGCTCCGAAAGTATGAACCAAGAGAAGAGCATCCTTCAGATACCTAAAGCCTAGACAGACCGACCCTTCCAAGTTGCCGGCTGGAAGTAAGGGAGGGACTAATAAAGAATCCAGGTAAAGAGATGGTTCAAATATAGGTATCAAGATTGTTGTAAACCGAATAAGGGCAAAAAGTATGTAATGGGTGCCTAGTTAGAAAAGTTAGTGCTTGAGAAATGTTTGTAGAAAGGCAGTATCCCAAAAGGTGGTGTGAGATACTAATATGGAATGGCAGGTCAATATGTACTAATTAGGAAGAAGTTATAAGAATATGTAGGTAAATACATGTGTAGAACATGTACTACTTTGTTAGGTTTACCTTTAAGGATAGATTAGCCATATATGGTTAGTAAGTCTTAATGTTAGGGATTATACATGCTGCTGAAATTATTTCAGATTTTGGGATCTGAAATTAAAAATTTTTTCTGAAATTGTTTTTGATCTATTTTACTTAAAATCTGAAATTTTTTGATACTTTTTTTAAATAGACCAAAATATAAAAAACATAAATATATAAATTTTATTTGCACTTCTTTATAAAAAATTTTAATTTATTTTTGAAAACCCAAAATAGACTTTTTTTAAAAATCAATTTTAGTAGCATATATAATAGGGATTGACAAATTCAAATTGTGGTTAGTAAGTTCTAAAATAGGATGCAAAATCTACAATGAGTAAATATGAAATCTACAAATATATAGTGAGAAACACCTGGGGTTAGAGGGCTGACGAAGGTGGTTTAAATGGGTACCTCCTCTAGTTGGGGTGCAAGTACGGCAGATAGTATAGAACCATTGGGCAGACTACTTAAATTAAACACTCAAAAAATGCACATGTGGCTTGATATATCATCATTGTAACTACATTATAAGACTTCATTTATACTCTAATAAAAAATCTTCAGGCCAAAGAAGGTTATCTTAATACCAAAAAAAAAAAAAAAATTATTAACCTATAGCCAACCGATCTCCATGGAGTATTAAAGGTTTTCAGAGTTAATAACAGATCTATCAGTATAGAATATAAGGTCAGTAGAGTAGTAATTGTAATTAGCAAGCTGTTGAAGAATATTAGAAGCAGGATTAATTAAAAATATAAAAGAGATTTGTGAGGCTTGTAGAATGAGGTTTGGGGTTCAGGAACTGAAATAATATATTGAAGTTTGATTGAGTATATTAGATCGAGAGGATTTTTATTGAAATTAATTGATTTGTCTGGATAAAATCTGCTGAGAAATTTAATCACATAGCAGTAGGAATAAGAATAGTGTATTTATTATCAATAATATTAGAGTTGAGGGGGCAGTTAAGATATGGTTTTGAAGTTATATTTGGAGTAGGGTATAAAAGTGAAGAAGTAGTTGTAAGATTGTATTGTCAGTAAGTAATTAGTATGTGTCCAGAATTTGTAGATTGGCAACAGGCTTTGCTAACAACAATTTGATTATTGAGTATTGTTATAAGCCAAGTTTTAGAATATTTTGAAAAGTGACCAGTATCATCAACGAAATATATAAATGTAATCTTACGTAAAATATTACGGCCCGTAATATTGTATAAGAATTATGGTCTGGGCAAAATATTGCACAATTTATTACAGAATTTCACAATTTATTACAGAATATTACGCAATTTATTATGGAATATTATGTAATTTATTGCAGAATATTTCGAAATAATTGCAGAGGTTTTAAAATTTGGTACCCATAATCGATCTATATGATTTGAATTTGGGTTCAATATCGATGATACTATATATCAGATATGTAATATTGCTAGTATATATGTACGTACAAGACTTTTAATAATTTATTATGTCATAATAAGTGAAAATTTTTATTTATAATTATTATTTGTGCCATAACGTACAAACTAAAAATCAAAAAATCCTAACTAACCTAACCCTAACCTTAATTAAAACAAAACAATAATAACAACCCTAACCCTAACCTTAACTATAACAAACTCAATAGTAACAAACCAAAAACTATCATATAGTGCTAATAATAGTGAATAGCACAAAAACCAGAAAAAAAAAGCTCTAACAACAGTACTGAATACAATAATGATAACGCCAAATGCAGCAGTGCCAAAAACAACAAATTCACACAAAGTTAACTCCAAGAACGATTTAAGTATGCTTCAACAGCAGCTATGACGATTCCAGGAATGATTTAACTGTATTCCAACGATAGTTATAGTGATTACCAGAGTTTTTTAAAAAAGCTCAAAGGCACTTTAATAGCACCTAAAAAACAAAGAAGATATTAAAACATATTTACAAGCAGAAATAACAAAGCAATAAATAACAAAATAATGCATCTCACAATTCTCAAGAAAAATGAATAATCCACCAAAGGTAGTAAAATCTGGTGCCAAAAATGAAATTATGCCCACTATTTGCAATGAGGAACTAGCACAACAACTCTAGTACAACTCTATCACCAAAACCAACAAGGCACCAAAACTGACGATATTTGACGATGAAATTACTAACACCACTTAACTTGCACAGTATGGTAGCAAGAAGCCAGTATGCAACACCAGCTACCAAGGTACCAAAAAGTGACTCTAGTAAAGCCACGTATGATGACGCCCAACAACAAAACTGCTAGCACTACTTAACCGCATAATATAATTTGAAACAAAAAACTGATGATAATCATTATAGATGATCAAATATTTATATTCCTGTAATCAAGGTATACCATTATATATACCATTATCGTTATATGTATAATAAATTTCTATATAGTTCACAAAATTTATTAAATATTTTAAAGGATAGAAATTGTATTCAATCTAACATAAACATTTCAGCTTAAAGCTATATCATATAAAGATGTGATCAGGTGGATTCTTTTTAATAGACTAGATAACATTCAAAAGTTGGTGAAGGGGGATTTGGCCCAGTGTTTTCAGCAACATAGTTGAATGGTAAAAGAATAATATTAAAAGAAGAATTGTTTAAAATGTTTGCTCACAATTATATATACTATCATGTATAGTTGCACTTAAGACATTACCAGGTTTACAAATGAATTTTTTAAAAGAAGTAAGTTAAAATAGTTTATTTTTGATCTGATACAGATAAATTATTTAACATTATAAATTTTATTTAACTAGTTCAAAAGTTATATAGAATTTAGATTAGTAGGTAGTAATCTTGAATATGACTACTGATAAATATATAATGGTGTTTCAATTTGCAAATAAAGAAAGTCTTCAAAATTTTTATTATTAAATTTTAGAGAATTGGAAAAATAAATTAAAGCAACTTGTCAATATATCAGAAAATTTAAAGAAAGTTCATAAAGCATAATATGTTCATGGAGATTTTCATAGCAACAAAATCAATATATTAATGGAAATTTAATATCTTATATTGCAGATCTTGGATTATTTAGAAAGAAAGATTAGAAGATAGTATTTATGGAGTTTTACCTTATATTGCCCCAGAAGTGTTAACTGAATAATCATATACAATAGCATCAGACATTTATAGTTTTGGTATTATTGTGGCAGAAATATCTACAAAAAAACCACCCCATTACGACATTAAGTATGATGAAGTATTGGCTCTTGAAATATGTGATCTGAACTTGCTAGAGGCACCCTGAATTCTATACCAAATTAGCAAATCATATCTGCAATAAATTATCGCTCACCTTGAAGTGAAGGCCACCCACCCTCTCCTGCCCAACTTGCAATAATTTTGTAAAGATACAAATGAAAGTTTGAGCGATACTGGTAAGTATTATAGACTCCATGGCTACAGTGAGCAGTACAAGGACCTTATTTTAATAGTTGGGCTCTACGGTTATAGTGGCAATGCAAGGACCCACCTAGGATGATGGGGCTCTGTATCATCAATGACCCCTCGAATAGTACAATCATTACAGGCTGATTCTCTTTTCTCCTTTCTTGTGGACTATTTTTGTGAAAATAGCTAGGTTGGTTAGGATTAACACAGAATCATTTTTGGGAAGATTGATTAGTAGAAAGGATTAGAGTTGGACCATTTGGCATTAATTTAGGTTTCTAAGTATAGGATTTCTAAAGATATGTTAGAGATAGTGAAGAAATTCTTTATTTTGTTTAATAAAGTCATCTGACCAAGCAATAATAATGCAACTATGTATTGGACCAATTCTATAAAGATATTTAAAAAAAGAAAAAAATAGATACATATGTTGCCTTATCTTATTGAATGTCACAATTTACAGCTGCTTCTATAAGTTATTTGACAAGTACAAATTTAATGATAATCGACAACTTACTAACGCTAAATCGATTTCGGCTGTATCAAACCTATCAATTCAGTTATTTTAGTTGCCAAGAATTTATGAAAACAGCTATAATATAGTCTATTTAACAAGATGGCATAAAATAGTAAATCGTGGTACAGCAAAAGATAAAAATGAATTAGCAATATTAAAAGCATTCCAATCAGCAAATGCAATTATTCCAACGTTATTAACTGAATTTTCAACTTGTCCTAAAGATAAACTTACTAAACTGCTTAAATTTAAAAACCTTCCTAAACCAATAAATTTATTAGCAAAGTTGTCAAGTGTTAATTAACGATAACATATGTTTATCACATTGTACCCATTGTATTTAAATTAAGATAATATTAGATTTAGAAATTTTAAACCATAATATAATGACAATAAACTTGCAAAAGCTTCATTTATGTTATTTGCTTAACTGTTTAGGAATATTAAAAACTCTTCTCTAGTTTTTGTCTATTCTTTAAACACTTTAACATAACACTTGTGGTAGTAGAGCTTCCGGGTTTCTGTACTCTACATATTATTATGCTAATGATCCACAATTCTTTAGACTTTATAGCATTTTCTTTTTGCTTGCAAATATCACTCAAAATTTGATCCTTATATTTTGTCTTTTGCACAGGTTGTATAGGTTTTATTATTTTTTTGAAATGCAGTTTTTGGTTTTGTAATTCGACATTTGATATGAACAAAGCTATATTCTATTTAAAAAATATTGTAATGAAATAAAAATTTTTCATCATAAAAATTTGTTGGTGTCTATGTATACTAGATGCATTCGGGTCATGGAAGGTTAGTTAGTAGTATGAAAACCTTATTTTGAAAATTTTTTGCTTAATATAAAAAAGCCGTAATATTACGTAAGATATTTCAAAATATTCTGAAAATATCTTACGTAATATTTCGTAATTTGATATTTCGCAATATTTCGAAATTTCTTACATAATATTATGGCTTTTTTACGTTTCATAAATTATTACGAAATATTACGGGCTTATAAATTTGCTGATGATTATAGCTATAATAATTTGTAGAAGATAGTTGTAATTGAGGAAAAATAAAATAGTTATAAAGGAGTTTATAATAAAATTTTCAAAAAATTTAAACCATTATGGAGTTTTCTCTTTAGGGATTTTGTTAAGCCTTGGAAAATATGTTTCTAGTCAAAAAGACAAGAATTATCAGACATAGTAAGTTGGTCAAGAAAGAGTATGTGATGGTGACGAAGTTGTTTTTAAAAGTAGCATAATTGGGATATAATAACAAAACAGATTCAAGAGTAACCAATTTTTCTTGAATTGTAGAAAATATAGTTGTGTTTGGGTTAAAATTAACTGTTTAATTTAGGTATTTGAAAAGTTGTATTATTTTGAAATTAGTAGTGAGCCTATTTGGGCTATCAATAAGAGGATTGGAATAAGATAAAATACTAGTAGAAGACCAAAGATTGTATTGAAGTTGTTGGACTCGAATTCGAGTAGTTGTACCAAGAAGAAATTTATTGTTGAGGCATTTGATAAAATTTGAAATGTGGTGTTGTAGTTGAATATTCTAGATATTTTTGATATTATATATATATGGATGAAGTAGGACACTAGTAGAAATAGTAAAACAAAGTTTAGCTTTGTGTTTAACAAGATTAATATATTGTCTGAAAAAATTTGTTGCAGATAGACTGGCTAAGTGTAGTATTATAGATTCTGTATTCTAGAATAGGGATAATAATAGTGTTAATAATATATCTAGTCTGAGTATCTGTTATTTGTTTGGTACTAGCAATTTTAATAAGTTAAGAAGATTCTAAAAAGATTAGTTGAATTTATTTGGTATGTTTATTGTTCAAGGTAAACCAACAGCCTAGAAATTTGAAAGGTTAATTAGCTAGCCAAAAGAGAAGTATTTCATTATTAAAGGAGATTAGATAATAGGTATTGGGCTTAGCATTAGTTAATAGTATAGATTTAGTTGGGTTAACTTTAATATTAGCTATATTGTAAAAAGATTTAGTAGCTAAAAAAATATTAGATAGCTTAGTTTGGCTAAATGCAATCTACAAAGTGTCATCTATATAAGCTAGTACAGAGCTATTAGCTTTAAGTTTATTAGTAAAGAAGTTTTTTAGATTAGTGAGCTATGAGATAGAGATTGAATAGCCAGGGAACATTGAATGTATATGTTGTGCCTCAGATCCTTTCCCGCGTCAGATCGAAGATGACGCACCTCAGATGCCGATCGTCAGGTGAGGTG